ACGATTAAAAGTGATGATAAAGGCTACTTTCAATGCAATATTCCATAGCCCAGTTCAGTTTCCTTGATTGAGCTCACGGTGTTGCCCCAGAAAACAGTTGTGTAAGCACAACTCCCTGGGTGAATGGAAAATGAGTTTTCAGGAGGTATGAGCAATGCTAAGCTGCTGTGTCTTTGCCTCTAAATACGGAATTCCTTTTCCACCCTTCGTGGCTGCTGGCCGTGCAGTGCCTGCTCCCTCTCTCGGTGATCCTCAGTGCTCATCTGCCTGCTCAGTGATCCAGCTCAGGTTGCTAATCCGGCAGAAGCCAAGCCAGCTGATGGAGGGAGGAAAATGATCTGTATTTGACAGCGCTGGGCTGTTAGGCTCCCCCATTGCTGTGAAGCTTCACTTGGCAGCACAGGTTACTTAATCTGACATCGCTGCCAGCATCGATTCTTGTCCAACCGGGGTTTTAGGCAGTCTTCATTTCTTAGTGCTTGTGGAATGTCGGGAGGGGGTGACTGCTGTCTGTGCGGAAAAATCCAACAGAGTCTGTAAAATCAGGTGATCTATAGCAATGGGGAGATGGTAAGGACAGCAGAATGGGGAAGGGCTGCAGCCCCATCTCTCAGTGCAGTTCCCATAGAGGGAAAAGGTGGAGTGGCTTTTCTTTGTGGGCGGCATTTGTGTTGGTTTGGTTTCCTGTATTTTGGGTTTGTTTCCCCATCAGTGTTCGGGCTTGGATTCCACCCTCCCTCTCAGCACACACAAGTCCGGTTCCCTGTGTATCCTGTGCATACGCATAGCACACGCTGTGTTTTAGGTAAAAGCCCAGTCTGAAGCTTGAAGCACCAAGGATTACATCTTCGGAGGGAAGAGGGGGGAGAATCGCTGCTGCTCCTCGCACTCCTGCCAACCCACTCGCTTTTTCTGCAGGGCTGTTTTTCTTACTTTGCCTGCGCTTCAGAGCATTAGCATTTAAATGACCCCTGCTAAGTGGTGATATCAACACCTTGCTGATAGGAAGAGGAGAGGAGACAGTTTGACTGGGTTTTGTTTCTCAGCCACTTCTGTAAAATGCGATAAAAAGAGCAGTTCCAGCCGTGGATTCCCATTTCCAAATGTTCTGACGAGTACCAAGCTGGGCAAAACTGTTTTTCTCCTCGTTTTTTTGCCTCAGACCGAAGTGTGGTGTTTGAGGAACCAGCAGGAATAAGGAGAAGAGGGTGAAGCTTCCACTTGTGAACTTCCCGGGATGTTTCTGTGCCCTGGGCTGTGGTGACTCTGAGGTGCTGCTGCATAACTCCACGGTCCTTTTGCACCTTTCACCCCAATAAGTTACTTCAGCCTCCTGGCCTGAGTGTTTCCTTGACTTCAGTGATGTGTGAAAGCACTTACACAGACAGAAGCCGCACGTGTATACTCTGTGTTGTCTTATCCTGTCACCTAGAATATGGGCTATCCTCGTGTTTGTCTGAAAAGCAGTAGCCAAATACAGCTCTAAAGTGGATAATAGGCTGTTCGTTCATCATCCCATCAGTTTTTCTCTAGAGGGGGACGGTTGTATGAGCATCTTCCACCTTTGCTGAAGGTGGGTATCTTCCACCTTTGCCCTTTCCAGCGCAGTCTCAGAAGCATTGGTTGCAGCGAGGTGGTGTGACAGCTTTACCTCTTGGCATCTATAATTCCAGTGGGTCCACTATAGGACAACATTTGAGTTGTCCCCCGAGCAGCCAAGCCTTGCTGTGCACTGAGTGTTGCCACAGCCGTGGTTTAGATTTGGGGTATCTTTGGTCCTTGTACAGTCATTTTTGCACAAGGAACAACATGTGATGCCCTAGATTGACTGCTGCTCTTATCTGTTGCTTTGGAAAGTGTGATAGTAGTAGAAAATGTTTGGTCTAATAGGATGGTTATCTTTCCCCTCAAGTCAAAATTTGCTGTGTTTAGAAAGCCTTAAACTGTTCAGTTATTGCTCTATATTAGGCTAAATGTATGTTTTCTTTTGCACTGATCTCCAGGTAACTGATTGCCAGTTATCTTAGGCTGGATGAGAGCTGTGTAAATGTTAAGAGAGCTGCTGCCTAAACGTTTTGTTCCAGGGCTCAGATGTTCTTTAAATCCCTGGGCTCAGTCATGGAAAAGATGCACCCGATTGTAGCCTGTTGTGAAACATCTCTGCCGAAGCTGAGCCTGCCCTTTGAAGCTCTCCCAGCTTGCGACCACCCCACTTGTTTGTCAGGCAGACACAGCACAGGCTTCAGGTCTACTTGCTGCATTGCCAAAGCAAGCACCTGGGTGCAAAGCAGATGTTAAGGCTATGAAGCTTTGCTGGCACGTGCTGTAGAAGGTTGCTTGTATCCACGCACATCTGGGGGATGACAAACCCCGTTTGTGGTGTGTTCTTGTTAGGGTTTAGCAGAGTGCTGCAGCATGGAAGGCTCCTTTTGCAGGAATGGCTTTCTGCTGAAGGTGGGATGTCCTGCAGTGGGAAATGCTCCAAACAGCAGGTTGAGGGGAATTTTTTCCCCTTTTCAAGGCACTCATCAGGATGCTTTTTGTGTGCTCATTACTACCGGCTGCACAGATAGATGTTGTAGCATAAACGAGCTAAAGCCATGAAATCTTAAGAACAAAATGATGTCACTTTTCTAATTTGAGCTAGGCTGTAGCCCAGTCTGTGCTTGGGTACCTGGTATAAACTGTGCCATCATTACCTTCAGGCAGGAGTACTGCAGCTCACAGCTGGCAGTGAAGGATTTCAAACCACTGTGATGCTCTTCCTGTGTTTTCTCCCTGATGGTTACAAGCAAGCCCAAAAGCTGCTCTCCCTGAGACTGGTCCTTCTTGAAAAGAGGCTGTAAATAGACAGTACGGTCTCTGGAGAAGGCACACCATGACTTGTGTGTGAGCAGAATGGGAAATGCAAGGTGGGAGTTACTGCTGTAGCAAAAGAGGGGGTGGTGGTGAAAATGTTCGTTCTGGGAGTGAGTTGCATCAGTGTTCCAGGTGAGAAAGGGACAGGGAGGAAGGAGGAGGACCCCTTAAAGCATTCTTTTGAATGGTGGGCTGCCCAGCCTGGAGCTGCAGCCAGCCCTCTGAACTAGAACTGAACCAGCTTTCAGAGACACAAGCAGTTAAGTAGGAGATGGATATATGTATCTTTTGTTTGCTTGTTTGGTTAAGTGGTGTTATAAAAAGAAGTTAGTTCTCTTGGATGCCATTTTTACCGTTGCTAGTCTCTTTCTTCAGCTTGCTTTTTAGTGTAATCAGTAGTTCTGAAGGTAGTTATTAGCTGAAGGACGACTTGCAAATTGTGATAGTGGGTTACAGCTTTCAGCTGCGCTTATTTGCTTTTCCCTTTCCCTGCTTAGTATTTGGCCTCCACTTTCCTGAATATAGCAACATGCTGTTGCTTCTGGCTTGCTGATGAGACACAACAGTGTGTATGTATCAAGGGGTGTCCTGGCTTCAGCAGTAGCAGTCATTTTTCTGCTCCTCAGTAGCTGGTGCACTGCTGTGGGTTTGACTTTCAGCCTGGGAACAGCGCTGATAACACCGATGGGTTTAGTTGCTGCTCAGTGATGTTTACTCTGACCAAGGACTTTGTGAGCCTCCTGCTCTGCCAGGGAGGAGGGGAAGCCGGGAGGAAGCAGAGACAGGACACCTGACCCAAACTGACCAAAGAGGTATTCCATATCACAGCACGTCATGCCCACTATATAAACTGGGGGCAGTTACCCGGAAGGGTTAGATCAGTGCTCGGTCAGGCTCGGTATTGGTCGGTGGGTGGTGAGCAGTTGTATTCTCTCCCCTTGTTATTTCCCTTATCATTATTATTATTGGTGGTATCAGCAGTGATTTGTGTTATACCTTAGTTACTGGACTGCTCTTGTCTCAACCCATGGGAGTCACATTCTTTCCCTTCTCCTCCCCATCCCTGTGGGAGCCAGGGGGGAAGAAAGGGGTGGGAGTGAGAGGGCGGCTGCGTGGTTCTGATTTACAGGCTGAGCTTAAACAACAACAAGGGGGAAAAATAGGAAACACCTAAATAAAACATGAAACTTGTGGGGTATTGAGCAACTGGGAACCAAGTGTTTTGGAAGCTACAAGGAAAGGAAGAGCATCCCACTGGAGGTTGAGTGTATAGCATGGCCTTACAGAACCTGAGTCAGTAAGTGACATTCTTGAGCACATCATTGCCTTTCTCTAATGGGTTCCTTCAGCACCTTGGGTCTGGGCATGTCCAGCAGTGTGTGAATTTTAAGAGCAAAAGAGCCACAGGTAAGACCACGCATTCTGTTAGCATGAGAGTGACATACTGTATGGATGTGATATGGAGCTGGTGCAAGACGGTTTTGAGCTGCTGAGTAAATGCAACCCTGTGGATAGAAAACCAGGGGAAATTCTTTGCCTCCCTTTGAAGAAAACCTGTTCCTGACTTCAGAAGGGCAGGATTTTGGTCTGCGTTAGTCTTAGCTGCACAGCAGCTTTCAACCATGCTGACAACTGTGACATCAGTCTGAATGATGGACACTGGAAGTAAATAGAAGCTTTTTCAGGCAACAGACTACATATTATAGCATAGAGACAGAAAGTGCTTAACGTGTAAACCTTTATTGCTTAATGTATAAACTTTTACTGCTTTGTACCAAAGACTTCTCTTACCTACCTCATGTAGGATGCCTGGGCAAGCTTTAACGGTCAAGAGGAGCATGTTATAGAGAAATCTGATGTATTTCACCTGTCGAGTGTTTCTTCACTTCCTCCTTTTTCCTCACAGAAGTTGGCACAAGTATTCTGAACAATACCTGAAATCAATGTCGAATGTTCTTTACCAGTGACTGAGCTGTTTCTGTTCACAGCAACCTGTTAGTAATTGACTGCCTCTTACCGCGTGGCTGTCTTTGCACTGTGTGGATGGGGTCCGGGTGTGTGTGGGGTGTGTGGGTGCAGAGGTGAGGAGGGGACGGGTGTTTTAAAGCGTGTCTTCTCACGTGCAAGTTTTACTTTTGCAGACGATATCAGAAACTGCAGAAGATAATGAAGCCCTGGTAAGAACCCCATCAGCTCCTCACCTTGCGCACTGCCTCCTCTGTTGCATGACTGGGTTCAGACCCTTTCACTAATCTTTATGCAGCTCTGCTTATTCATTCAGCGAGTCTTCGACCTTCTCTGTTTTCTGCTCTTTGATGCCTGATGAGATTTTCTCATGAATTTGCTTTGCTTATGGACTGAGTGCTTCATTTCTGTCACTCCTGCAGGGCCCGCTGCTGTGTCCGAAGTCAGGCTTTCCCTTTGGTTTCGGTGTTAATTTGAGCAAGCAAAAGGGTTCCCAACCTTCCCCAGTTCCCCCCTTAAATTTGTCTGGCTCACATGGCTGATAGCAGGCAGTTCTGATTGTCAGTGGGATGAAAGTACGACCCATTGTACCAGTTTGAGTTCCTGTTATTCGCTGGTCCCAGGTAATGCCAACTGTTGCAGGTAACTGCATAAAGGCAAACGGTGCTATAGTAAAGGGCCTCATATCAGAAAGTTCTGAAGCATGCTTATTTCCATGATGATGATTTTAAATCATCTTTGAATTGATCTTCTGTGTGCTTCTAGTCAAGCATGGGCTTTGATAAATTGGGACCCCAAGAGATACTCCAATATCTTGATTGGCTTGGAAATTTGACATCTCAAGTATAGCTAAAACCCAAGGAGCCAAAGGAACAATTAATCAGCTAACCACAGATCTGTCACTTAGAGCTTGATGTAGTTTATCACACAGGAAACGCCGCTTCCCATCTGAATCCACGCTAAATCATACTTTCACAAAGTATAAACCAAGTTCTGAAACTTTTCTTTTTAAACCTAATTAATACATTCCGAAGAATAAATTTGGCAGCAGACTTGAATCCTTCCTCTCCTTTTGCTTACTCAACCTAGTACAAAGTAACTTGTTTCGTAATAGAAAAGTTCAGATCCAGGGGAAAACGATTAAAATGGTATGAGGTCTTCAGAATCCTTGGCAGCATCTCTTCTGCTGAGAAGAGGCGCCTCCTGTGCATTTGGATGGTGCGGTTTTCCTCACTGCTGTGGAAATGGTTCTGTGTGGACAGACAGTTCTACTCCTTCAGCATCTCTGTGCTTCCAAATTCCGTTATCCTGCAGGCTTCTTTCTCTACGTTACATTCTGTGATTGCTCTCAAGACAGCACTAAAATACTGACTTGGAGTTGGATTGCACCCTGGGTTTAGGACCTGATCATACTGATGTGCTGCATTAACGCAGTTTAGTTTTGGTTACTCATGGGAACAGGGCATTACCCACTTGAACAGGATTCTTACTCCTCAGTGTAGGTATAGCATATCAATGGGTACAGTAGTAAAGAAAGTGTATGTGACTGAAGTTTATTCTAACTTTGGAAGTTAAATCCTGCCAGTAAGCTTCAGTTAGCGTTGGGGCACATAGGTTGATAGTTTGATTTCCATCAATAGTACATGAAATGGTACAGTTCAGATAACAAACTCTTCAGTTTGGGACCTGTACTGAAAAAGGTACCAGGGCCATTGGTCAGGATGCGAAGCCAGGAGTTGTGGAAGCCGGCCTGTTTGCACACTTTGAAAGTGAAGTGTATGCACTAGTGTGCTGTGCGTGTGCTTATGGAACACCCTGACTGTTTCTCACCCATGTATTAATGGGAAGAGGTCAGATGAAACAAGAACTACTAAAAAAACCCTCAGAAGGTATACAGAACTAAACTAACCTTTAAAACCTTGCAGGCTCCACCTGCTGTCTTCTTGACTGAAGAAACTTAAAGAAACCAAGTGGTAGCAGCAACCACCAGTTACTTTTAATGCACAGGATGCCATATTTCATCTAGTGGCCAGTATTCCATTCTAGCTTGCACCTCACTTAGTTAAAACCTGATTTTCACAGAGAGCCCTTGTTTAACGGCTTCCTCTACCGAAGGAAGTTCCTCTAAAGTGGGAGCTTCTTTTTCTGTGCCCTTTCAGTTTTAGGGGTTCCTGAGCTGTTTCGGGATCTTATTTATTCCATGTTGGTTAATACTTGGCTGAAACAAAGAATTCCCATGAAATGCCCTTCGCATTGCAGAACCAAACTGTGGTCAAACCATGCTGACTGGAGAGTGATGGTTTTCCTGCATAGGCAGTTATTCCTGGTCTTTTAAGAAACGCTGATCCATTTAAGGAAATTACCCTAAAATGGGCAAAACTGGGAGTTTGAAAGGTGGGGAATAAAAGAAAAGGTAATTTTAATCACATCTTCATGAAGAAACGATGTATAGTATTTCCTCCGGTCTGGTTTCCCATGCAGACAAATGCTTAATGTACCTTAAAGTGGATTTAGTCATACTCCATGATAAGAGTATCCAGACTTATTCAAGAGTAGTTTCAGTTCTGTTTAAAATCTGCAGCTTGTTTTGCTTAATCAAAGTTCATTTTGGAGCTGAGGGAGGCCCCAAAGACAGGCTACAAAGGTATTCCAGGTTTTTGGGATGCAAAGGGTTTAAAATCAGTTGGGTTGATCACTTGTAATGAGCAGGGTGAAACTGCATCACAAGGAGGTATTTCAGTGCTGCTTGGCATGATAGAAGAAATCCATGAGTCTGTGTCACAGTGTGGCAGTTGAGTGCATTTCCTGTAATCATGAGAAGATAGGGGCAGCCACCCCACGGGTTGTTCAGTCCTTTTCAGCTGTACTGAGCACCAAGTAGGTGCAAATTGCCCCTAGTTTTGATTTGATTTGATAGTGGCTTAGCTTCACCCTTGGAAAGGTTATGTGAAGAAAGAAGGCAGTGTAGAAGCAATGGAGAGGAGCCGTAGCAATAAAAAAGGTGCGCGTTTGCACTGTGCTCACTGAGCATCCTACTGCATCATCAGTCTTCATTTCAGACTTAGGTTCTTGCCCCCATGGCTTTTGCAGAGCTCTTGTCCTGTGATGATTAGATACATTCTGCTGCCCTGTTTAAATTTATTCATGGCCATTTATCCTTGACAGCTCTATCTTAAAAAGCTGATTCTACTCTTTGATGTTGGCCTCAATGATGTCAGGCTTTTCAGCTGCCCAGTACTGGGCTGTGAGCACAGTTCCTGCATGATAAGGGAGTTAACTGCTTCCTTAACTGCTGCGCAGGCTGCTATTCTGCTGTTGCCTCCTGCCCAGTTGAAGTTACTCCCTTCTGCAGCCTTCCTAATGCACAATTAGAGATCAGCTTTGGCTCTGTTTTGACAGTGAAAAATGGTTTGTTTTGAAGATGTACTCTCTTTGGCTTCTAGTCCTAATGGGCTGGTGGCTGTATCTTGGTTGTGACAGACAAGCAGCAGTTAATTTCCAAGTTCTCTTATGCAGCTTCTATCATATCAAGCACGTGAGACAGTCCACTTAGCTTTATACGGGCTTATATGGCCTTTTTAATTTTGTCATGACAGATGAGCCTGAGTAATTACTCTTGATTTAACGAATCATTTTAACAGGCAAGTATCTTTCAATAGCAATAAAATAACTCTTTTTGGTATATGTGTTAAACATGGAGAGAGGGTTTTTTTTTTCCCTTTTTCTTTATTTTTTTCCCCAAATCATCCAGGGGATTTGGGTGCTCAAGTGCCATTAATGTATTTTGATAAGAAATCCAAATTGCTTTAGACATCTTTCAGAACACCAGACATAGCTATATCCATACACATATATATGTACACCCCAGGATTGCTTAACACACATGATAAAAAGACGGTTTGTGATGTGGAAATGGTACTAGGAAGGCAAGTGAGAGGCTGGTGTGTAGGATCCCCGTGTATGGAGCCCACACCGAAGAGCCCTGCAATGTTGAGGAGGGGTTGTACAAGGAGCTTGCCTGAGAGCATAGATCATTATAATGTCAGTGGCGGTGAGAGATAGGAAATTGCAATTACACAGTGTATCTTTCCCATCACTTCCCCCCCGGCTGTGCTGACAGACATCCCAGAGCACCTTCAGGAGGAATTGCCTTCCAACTATGAAGGTGTTTTGCCAGAGCAGCAAGGGTTTGGTACTGATTGAGCTGCCACGCTGTGGGTTACACTAAAAAGGCTTTCTGAAGCAAGAGGCCACATTGCTTTGGCCATTTTTTGTGTGACCGAAGCACTGGGATTTGAGTCCGTCAGCCCCTGAGAGTCTCACTTGGATGAACAAGCTTTGATTCCCTTGAAATCTCTAGCGCCTGTTCTGTCTGCTGCTCTTAACAGTGTGTGTGTGTGAGTCTGTCTTGAAATAGGTTGTTTGGAAGCCTGTGTCTACCTATCTGCTTGTGTTTAAACAGCGAACAATGAATCAACGCCGCTCCCTTCCCCCCCCAGAGCCTTTAATCCTTATCTTGCTCTAGTTACCCTGGAGATTGCTTTCCTTTCTGGCTGTGCTATTCCTGATGCTTTATCCTCTAAGCCTGGCTTTTGACTTTTGCAGTGCCACTTAGTGTATACACGTGTGTGCAGGTGCATGTGTGTAGCTGTCTGTTTACAAAGTACCATGTCCTTTTTGGTGTCCTCAACATAAAAAGGACATGGATCTGTTGGAACAAGTCCAGAGGAGGCCATGAGGATGATCAGGGACTGGAGCACCTCCTGTATGAAAACAGGCTGAGAAAGTTGGGGCTGTTCAGCCTGGAGAAGAGAAGGCTGTGTGGAGACCTCAGAGCAGCCTTCCAGTATCTGAAGGGGGGCTATACGGATGCTGGGGGTGGACTCTTCATTAGGGACTGTAGTGATAGGACAAGGGGTAATGGGTTAAAACTGAAACAGGGGAAGTTTAGATTGGATCTAAGGAGGAAATTCTTTCCTGTAGGGCAGTGAGGCACTGGAATGGGTTGTCCAGGGAGGTTGTGAATGCTCCATCCCTGGCAGTGTTCAAGGCCAGGTTGGACGAGGCCTTGGGTGCCATGGTTTAGTGTGAGGTGTCCCTGCCCATGTCAGGGGGTGGAACTTGATGATCTTAAGGTCCTTTCCAACCCTAACTATTCTATGATTCTACATACTGTGTACGTGTATGTAGTGCTGCGGGATGTATAGGGTTGGAGCATTTCTCCCTGCTTGAATAGTCCCAGTGCTGCACTTCCCTCTTTGCTCTCGTGTCACTGGAGGGACACCTCGTGGGGTGTCTGAGCGCTGAGACCTGAAAAGTGCTTCCACCTCCCGCATCCCCAGTGGCTCTGTCATTGTCACATGTACTAAGGCACGTTTATGTGTTAATACCAAACGTGTTCTGTTTCCCAGTTCCCCTTCCAAAGCTGTGGAGGAGGCTGGATTAATGGGCAGGATTCATCAGTAGTTTTAATGAGAAGAATACATGAGACTCTTGAGTTGAGGTTAGTTCAATTCCTTTGCATTCCAGCCACTGCTGAAGGTGAATATCTACATGCAGGTTTAATACGGTTTAAGTAATCTCTCGGAACTATACCCATTGTTAGCAGGGATTAGCTTTCATATTCAGTTTATAGCAGAGTAGTTATGTGCTAAATACAGGTTAATTGAGTGCATTTTTAAACAATATGAGGGAAGATCTAGAGGAGATAAACTGCCTGCTTAGTTTAATGCTGGACAGGATATTTTTTTATCTACTTTTCAACCTATATGACCTAGCTTTTTGTATCTTTTTTATATCTTTTTTCTTTGCATCTCCTTTAGTCCGGCTTCTTAAAATACCAGAATTTCATGTGTTTGGGAAGTATTCTGCCATGGGGATGCATGAGAATTGGGTACAAGTTTTTAGAAGGAAGCCTTTCCTATGGGTGCTGTTTGATTTATTTATTCATAAACAAGCATCGCATGCAGAAGAAATGGATTGGGGAAAATGGCAGGACCAGAGCTCATTAAATTTCCTGCAGGGTGTTATTGTTGTCTTGTTATGAAATCCTGGGTTAGCTGGAATGCAGATGATGACAGTTCAAGTCTAATTTAATTCTTACCAGACTATTGCAGTGTTAGAAACCAAGCGAACAAAACCAGCCCCAGAACTTTCCACGGCGTGTGTTTGCTGAACAAAACCTGAGCAAGGGATTCCTTGCAGAATTACAGTGTGGGTTTTAAGGACACTTGATTTTTTTATCAAGAAATGGTGTTTTTCTTGCTCTCTGGTGTAGTTTTTAGTGGAGCGCATCTGTGGAGTTATAATGAACGGGAGCTCCTTTCTTAAATGAAGGTGCTGCTAAAGGCTGCATCTTAACCCTCAGACATCCCTAAAAGACAGATGATATCAAATCCAGTAAAGTGGCTGCTGGAGTTGCTACATGGAAACTGGTTTTCTGCCTTATTCCCCTGACCTGCTGTAAATGTCTTCCTTCTGAGTGGATCTTCACTTAACTTGTACAGGTTGGTGCAGGATAGTAGGATAGCAAAGCAAAGAATCAGGATTACCAAACACTGAATTGCTTAACAAGTACTAGACTCAGGTTTTCAACACATGGAGCACTGCAGTTCCAATCTGAATTTTATCTATTAGGTAAGCTGTTGCATTCAAATCACTGGGACTATTCATGCTGTTTGATGACATAGCCATTTGCACTGGTTATATACAGAACTTAAGCTGATCTTTAAAAGCTGGTTTTTAACCTGGGAAATTCCTGTGCAGCTCTTCAGGTTAGAGCACATCATCTGTGTTGAGTTTAAACCTGCTTTGAATTGAGTTGCGTTCATACAAAGACGCCCTGAATCTTAAGTTTACAGGTGTAAAATGCAGTGCAGTGGCCTAAACAATTGGAACTGTGTGTTTGGATGAGCTATGGGAGCTTTGAAATTAGCTTGGCATGGTTGCCCATAGACAAACAAAAGGAGATGCATCTACAGGGCATTGACTAGTGGAAAATTGCTGCTCAATTTATAGTCTTAAAACTGTTATTTGTTTCCTTATAAAAGAAGGCACAAACGCTCCCCTGACTTCCTGCCAGTCTGCTTGATGCGGGGGTACCAGAACGTGGCACCTCTGTATGACCTTCAGTTAGGACCATTTCCATAAGCTGCTAAGAAAATCTCACTTCTTCCATTAGATCTAAACCTCTGAACCTATGCGAGGAGTTTAATTTGGACTCTCTGATTTCCTTGGGCATTGCATGCAGTGTTCTCCTGGGAATTAGTTCTTCTCTTAGCAAAGTGCTTCCTTTCAGGTGACTGTTCTTGATGTCCATGCTAAACTGGCTTGGAGACTGTCTGTTGCACGGCCTCTCTTGCTCTTCTGCTACCTCTTAGTCTGTGATTGGCTTCATTTTCCTGCCTTTCTGAAAGCTTCCTGCTGCTTTATTCCCTCGGTCGTTGCCCTGCTGCACCACTGGTAAATGTTATCCTGACTCCTGTCTCTTGCAGCTTTGGAGATATGTTGTCCTTTACACTGACTGCATTTGTTGAGCTGATGGATCATGGGATTGTATCGTGGGATACATTCTCTGTGGCATTCATTAAGAAGGTAAATTTGTAATGAACTCTCTCTGTTCTGTATCACTTGACAGTTTTGAGGTGAGTCAGTGTTTTATTTCATTTTCTCCACCCCCTGCCCCGGTACATTATTTAGGCCATTGCTCAGAAAGGTACATGGGAATGTGATTCAGGTGCTGTTTCAAACCAGCAATATTTGTAGTTGCAGGGTCTGACCCAACTTCCACAGCAATCAATGGGAGTGAAATGGGATCAACCCAGTATTAGGCCTATTGCACAAGAAATGGCTTGCTCAGTTAGAGTGTGACCTCCCTGTGCAGATACCATGCAGTTAAAGCAGAAATTAGTCTCCTGATTTATTGCAACTGAAAATGAATAATGCCATCTTTGTTGAACCAAAACCAGCGCCAGAATGTTTCCTCGGGGGGTATGGGAGGAAGAAAAAGGAATGGGTTTGCAAGTTGAAATGAAGCTGCTCTCTGCTGAGTTTATGGAGTTCTTCCCCCCCGTGAATCTTGCAGCTGAGCTCTGTGGGTTTGAAGCAGATCTTTCCACAGCTGGCAACATCTGTTCTGTTAGGTGTAGGGGATGCGTGAAAGCAGTAGAAACATGGGAGTACTCTGTAAATACAGAGATTTAACAGGATTTGTTACTGACTTAACCCTTTTCATTGGGGGGGGGGGATAAAAATCAACCCACACTTCCTTACAAAGAATTTTAAAACCAGGTTGAACTCCGAACTTAAGTTAGAATGGATTTTACAGGCTCAGAAGGGATCAGAGTTGCTTCACTAAAATGATACCAGAAGCAGTAATGGCATGGATATAACCTGTGACAAAGATATCTTCATTTTAACAGCAGGGGTCAGAGCAAAGAAGGTTTAATTTAGATTTGGTTTAGGAAGTTGCTACCACCAAAGGAAAGTACAAATGTCCTTTTGGTGCCCCAAGTGAGAGAAGAATTAATGATGAAGAGAACATTAGACATTAAAGCTCAGTTTTGATCATTAAAAATGATGGATGCTATTTGTAAGAAAAAATCAGTGTAATTGACCTGGTTTTTGGATTCTCTTTTTGCCAGTCTTGAAGTCTTAGATGATGGTGATTGTTAACTTTCCATGGTGAAGAAGATAGTAGGGGTGTTTTTAACAGACTCCTCCATATACATGGTCAACGCCTTATTTGCTAAGGGAGCCTCCTAAGAAGTGTATGAATAAACTTGCTAAAATCAGTTTAACTCAATCTGCTCTGTGGGTTGCCTTTGCCTAAGGGTATCAGCATCTTTTGCCCCGTGTGGCAACTGCAGCAGAGAGTGTTGTGTGCTCATCCCTCCTGTCTGGCACTTGCAGGGGTTTCCCTGGACAGTGACCCAATTCAAAGCAAGAGACACAAACGAAAGCATTCTCATGAAGTGCTTGTGAAGAGCAGGACTGGTGAGGACAGAACTGGTGGGCAAGAAAGGGAGCAAGCGGAAGAGTAGGACAGTTTGGAGAGGAAAAGGAGGACAGAGTGACAGAGAAAAGAGGCACGGGTCTGTCCTGACCTGCTGCGCAGCTGGGAACTGGAACAGCAGAGCCCTCAGAGGGTCTCCATGGGCAAGGGGCAAACCTAGAGAAGCACCTTTGGACCACGGCTCTAGCAGCAATCTACAGCCTTATCTTCACTTGCTTTGTGAGCTTGGCTTTGGACAGGGCACTTGAGGTTGCTGATGGGCTTGCTTAGGTACTTGACAGGATGGGTAAGGGAGCTGATAAGTCTCTGCTAGCTGAGGGGGAATTTTGCAGTCAAGTGCCTCTGCCCTTGAGGCTGTGTTTGGTGTTAAATGGAAGCCAAGCTGGAATGGGGGTGAATTCATCAGAACTTGTTTCTTGAATAGTTTTCTGACTTAAAAATGTAGAAACTGGAGACCTCAAAGGGAACCTCTAACTGCTTCTAATGACTCTTGGCCTTGGATGCAGTCTCCCTCCCATCCTTTGGGTACATAAAGACTGCTATTCCAGCTGCTGCAAGCAAGGATTGACACTGTCAAGGAGAGCTTTGTTCTTATCTTAAGGGAAAATAGCATCATTTGAAAAAGCTTCCTGTGATTTGTAAGATTCTCTCAAGACCTTTTCCTTGCATATGACAATAAAGTTTATTTCCAGCTGCCGTAGTTGCCTACAGGGTTTGGATGCCCAGTCCTTAGAAAATGTCTTGGTAACTGGATATCAAAATACACTATCCAAATTTGGTACTCCTGTCTTTAGTTCCTGTAAGAGGAGAAGTCGAGCCCATAGGATTGGTTGAGATAGTTAAAAATATCTCTTAGCATGCTTTATATAATTCCTGTTCCATAACTGTGGGATGCAGGGCCTCGACCTTGATGAATTGGTTACTCTGCCTCGAAAAAGTACTGTGCAGAAGAAGGGGGTGGCAGCAGGGAGAGGATCTCCGTGTGTCACAACTCTCAGTTGGTGTTGGTGTTTCTGTAGTCAAATACAACTCCAATTCCTGACTTGAAAATGAGATGCCTGCTTTAAAGTTTTACTATGCATTAGCACTTCACAGAGAGTGGACCTTGGTCAGGTTTTTCTGTCCATTTTCACACCAAAATGGTCCAGACAAGTGACGTAATGAGCACAGCACTGCTCAGAGAATCGGATCTGTTCCCTTCACTGTTTTCCCTCTCTGTATTTTGGTGGTGGTGCAGTTCATTTTGTTAGGATGAGTGGGGGGTTTTGTTGGTTTTAATTTTAATTTTGGGTTTTTTTTGTTTAAAGCTTTTGAATTCTGTCTGCTGCTTTAAGTGATGCTGGGACAGGAAGAGAACACCGATGATGTAGTTAACTGTGGGTTTCTCATCTACCCTCACTTCACATGCTTAGCTCCTGTTTCTCAAAGCATTAAGGCTTAATGGGTAAAGCCATTCTGATCCCTAATTTCCCTTGGAATTGATAGGAAAGTGAGCACCCAGCCTCTTCTTTTGTATGTGGCCATAATGTCCTGGTAGGGCTATACAGATAATAAGATTGCTGAACAAATAGTTTTAGCCTTAACAAGACATATCCATGTGACAGGTCTTCATGTGAAAGTGCAGAGCAATGAGGTTGGTTATTTCTGGAGGGGAGGCTGTGCTCCTGTGAGCTTGCATTGTTTTTATCAGTAGAGTTTTGATGGGTGAGTGCAGGATTATTTGGGGATGTTGAAAGCCCTCCCTGTGCGTGGTGCTCAGTAAGCAGAGAACAGCAAATAACACAGATTTGGACTCCTGTTGCTTCTTGCCTCTTTTCAAGATGGGTCTGCCGTTTCCACATCCAGAACTTCAAGTATGGTAATGGAGTTTCTTTTTAATCCAGTTTTGCTCTCTCTAGAACTGAGCATGCCTTATTTATCAGGGTAGACAAGCCTGTTACTTCTGGCCACACTTGATGCTTCAGCTAGGTGGTTATGAGTATACATAGCTTGACATGCAAGTTAACTAGTGGGTGTTTTGCATGTATATTAAGTGTGATATCTCATAGCTGTGACACGCAAACCAGCTTCCTACCTTGTGTTTAGTGGTTAGAAGATGCTATGGTCCAGGGTCAGAAGAATAACTTATGTCTAGGGCAGCCTGTCCTAGACTGAGGTTTCAGTTGTCTGTACTGTGACACTGCTGCAGGCCCCTGGGATGAGTATGTTATATCCCAGGGAAGTGTTACTCACTTGAAACATCATGGGGAGGAGCTGCTGCACCCAGCCTAATTCATCCATGTCAGGGCATACATGAAGAGGATGGTGACAGCAGCCTGACAAGCTGAGACACAGCCTGGATGTGCTGTGTTCCTGCTGCACAGCTGATCCTGATGACAGAGGCATCCACGGCACCTTTGGTTTAGTGTGTGATCGGTGCAGAGTTGCTCTGTGCGTGCACTGTTGATATTTTGAGCATTGTGGACGTTTGGCAGCTTCAATAAAACCCTGGGTAAGCATTAAGAGAGGCGATGCAGTACAGTGCTGCTGAGGTACTGCTGCTTGCTTCATGCAGCACAATGTGCATCATGCACTAATGTAAATGTTGCTTTGGTTCAGGGCTTGCAGACAGCAGATACTGAAAATCCAGAGTAGAAAAAGGCTAATATTAGGTTGCTTTTCTCCTCTTCTCTATGCATGCATGGGTTGGTTCTTTATTTTCTGCAAAGTCAATGTACTCCCTGAGCTCTGTTAGATTCAGCATAGCATGGTCCTGTTGGGGTAATGCAAGCCAAGCAGCAGAGCAAACAGCAGTGCAGCAGTGGATTAGAAGCAGCATCTATCCCTTTTTCCTTGTCATCCACAATCCAAGTTGCAGAAAGGGTGTTCTGCTTTCTCACTGCTGTTCAGAACGTCACAAGCGTGGAGCAGTTTTGCTGTCCCCATGTCAGTATTTAAGTGTGAATTTTACAGCAGCTTTTCCAAGCATAGGGCATTGCCTTCCTCCCTCCAAAGGGAACACAATGCCGAGGTCTAAGCAGAAACAGTATAATCCCATTAGTGGCTTGTGGCATGAGGATTGAAGAAGCACTTGGGCTTTTATGTTTTCTGGAAGGAACGCATCAAATGTGAGGCAGGGCCACTGCAGTCTGTCACTTGGCTGTAAAGAGCAAATACCTGTGGTCACACAACATTCTTCTGTCTGTCTGTTCAGCCTGGCTGGGCTGGTAATGGTGCATCCAAGGGAAACCCAGGGAGCTGGGTCCATGGACTGGACAGCATGCTGAAGAGCTTCCATTGCCCCTCTTACTGCCCAGCTGTGTTGGGTGTGCAGCGTGTCATTGCCGCAGTGCAAACGCAGCAGAGGTCCAGCCTGGGTTTAATTAACGTGCCATTTGTCTGTGGCCGCTTGCAGTAAAAGTGAGGGCTCTTAATGCATGAACATGGAGCTAGGCTGGACTCCAGGCAGAGCTATGGAACCAGTCGTGCTCATAAATGATCATCAACAGAGTTTGAATGTGTAACCTGGGGAGGGCTTTCGGTTTTGTTGGTAACAGCAAAGGGCAGGAGGGGGTGAAAATGTGTTTTGTCGAGGAGATAAGCGTCAGTTTCTCTTTTGAAACATCTTCCTTGAGCCTAGCTATTTGTGCAGAGACAGGAAATGTTCCCCTTGCCTTTTCCAAGGTTTTCCTCACAAGAGAATACAACTGTTCCAGTTCTTTAGTGTTGTTTTATCATGGACTTCCCGTAACGTTGAAGCATAGATTTTGGTACTATGAATATTGACATCAATCTGTGGCGATTAGTGCCAGCTGAAGAATCTGTGCCACTCTGTCCTTTGGAGGTATCTGCAGTGCCTGGTTGCTGCCAGGTACTCACTGGTACCCGCTATGTGGACAAGACTAGTTTTATTCTAGTGCCTTTGAGCCATGTCCAGAGTTTTCTTTCTTCTGTTTTCCTCCTTTTCATGACAAGATGTAAATCCCCCAACTGTTTGCATTTGTAGATAGCAAGCTACGTGAACAAATTCGCCTCGGACATCTCTATCTTGCAACGATCACTAGCAATCCTGGAATCGATGGTGCTCAACAGCCATGATCTGTATCAGAAGGTGGCACAGGAGATCACAATTGGGCAGCTAATCCCACATCTGCAGGGGTGAGTGTCTTCAACTGTCATCTGATCCAGTGGAATTCCCTCCTCCCACCCCAAATGAGCACAGCATTTGGAAAAAGGAGTGGTGTAAGGACAGGAAACCTGCTGTACAACTCCTGCATCGGCTATATGTGAGTGGCCCTTCAAGGATGGGACTGATTCCACCATTCTTGAACGCTGAGTCTGGAACATCTCTTTCTTGATAGTGGAGACAACCAGGACCCATTATCTAACTTGTACATGGTTAACCTTAAGTGCCAACAGTGCCTCTATTTCTACCTGCAGAAATGCAGCTGGAAGATCAGTTTATAGCTGTGTGTACTCATGTTGTTCTCTCATGTTTGTAATTTCCTTCCAAACAGGACAGACCAAGAAATCCAGACGTACACCATTGCAGTAATCAATGCACTCTTCCTTAAAGCACCGGATGACAAGAGGCAGGTAAGTTGTTCCTACGCATCTGTAGTGTGTCATATTCATACCTGCAGTTGTCTCAGTGTCGTGGTTTAAGCCCAGCCGGTAACTCAGACCCACGCAGCTGCTCGCTCGCTCCCACTCCCTTCCTCCCCCTGCTCCCACATGGATGGGGAGGAGAAGGGAAAGAATGTGGCTTCCATGGGTTGAGACAAGAGCACTCCAGTAACTAAGGTATAACACAAATCACTGCTGATACCACCATTAACAATAATGATAAGGGAAATAACAAGGGAAGAGAATACAACTGCTCACCACCCACAGACTGATACCCTGACCTGAGCACTGATCTAACCCTACTGGGTAACTGCCCCCAGTTTATATAGTGGGCATGACGTGCTGTGGTATGGAATACCTCTTTGGTCAGTTTGGGTCAGGGGTCCTGTCTCTGCTTCCTCCCGGCTTCCCCTCCTCCCTGGCAGAGCAGGAGGCTCACAATGTCCTTGGTCAGAGTAAACATCACTGAGCAACAGCTAAACCTATCGGTGTTATCAGCGCTGTTCCCAGGCTGAAAGTCAAACCCACAGCACTGCACCAGCTACTGAGAAGGAGAGAAATGACTGCTACTGCTGAAGCCAGGAGACCCAGCCACACTTGTCCTGCAGATAATTCAATCTGAAACTTGTTCAGTTGCTTCATGCTGGCTATGCGATTCCTTTTGATGGAACTGCCTCCCTCTTGCACCAATATCAGTAGGGATGAAGCATTCTTCTGTGCTTTTGTAGGTCCCTGTAACCTCACATGAACCATATTGACTGTGGCTGGCTGTAGTATTTATTGTACTAAAGTCTTTGCCAGAACAGCTTGTAAAACCAGGCTATTTTTTGGTAAGCTGTTTCCCTCAGGATCTTTTAATAAAGAGCGTGTTCCTTTTGGGCATGGAAACATCTTGCCATGTGAGCATTTAGGGACTTTTATAGGGGCCTATTTTAAGTTAACTTCAGTGCCAGAGATCAGCAGTCTCAAAAGGAAATATTTCAAGCTTGCTGGTTGCTGTTTAAGGAGGATGGAATGCAGTGTGTTATGGGATAGGGAAGCTTTAGCCATGTTTATGAGGTCATTGGTCTGTGTCAAAACACATTTAGTCATTCATTTATTTAACACTTCGGTCACCAAGAATAGTGATGATAACTCCTGGGGTGGCATCCAGTTAGTGTCCAGAGTTCATTGATTTCATGGAGACCTGCTGATCAGCTCTGACAGGGACTCTCCTTAGACCTATTTATGGGTTTAAACACTGGAGGTTGTTTAACCAAACATCAGAGCCCTCATGGGTCATTCTTCTGTTTTGCTTCAGAAGTGTTTCTAAAATGGAAAACAGGGGAAAGTAAAACCATGATTTAATTAAAACAAAGGCAGATATTTTGTTCCCATTCCTCTTTTTCTTCTCCCTCCAACCCAGTCCTCAGTTAAGGGCATAAGGCACCTCAGGAAGAGAAACTGGAATAAAGGTTTCCTTTCAGTTTTGGCATAAAACCAGATCAGCAGAATATAATGATCTGGTTTGGCTTGAAGGCTCCTAGCTCTAACACTTGCAGGAAACATCCTTCAGCCTTTCATAACCTATAATAACTAGTTGGAATCTGTTAGGTTTCTCTTTATGTTGTGTTTAATCATTAAATCACACTTTGAAGAAGGTAGATGCCCATTAGCTTCAGGGTAAGGTTAGCTGGCGTTGTTTACTATAGGGATGCTGCAGAGGGACTCTTCATTAGGGACTGTACTGACAGAACAAGGGGTAATGGGTTCAAACTTAAACAGGGGAAGTTAAAACTGGATATAAGGAGGAAGTTCTTCCCTGTGAGGGTGCTGAGGCACTGGAATGGGTGCCCAGGGAGGTTGTGAATGCTCCATCCCTGGCAGTGTTCAAGATCAGGGTGGACGTGGCCTTGGGTGCCATGGTTTAGTGTGAGGTGTCCCTGCACATGGCAGGGGGGTTGGAACTGGATGATCTTAAGGTCCTTTCCAACCCGAACTATTCTATGATCCTGTCTTTCTAAGACAATGAACTGAGGTGATGCAGTCTCATGTGGTTACCTGATGGTGGATACTCCAAAGTTAAGCTTCAGCACTCACCACTAATGGGGTTAGGAGTGAGAAGCTGCACCAAACCCTGTATGAAGCTTTGGCCCCATCTCTGCTGCTGTCTTATGGAGACCAGCATGATGCGGAGCATTGGAATGGTACTGGGAATGGTGGAAACACTTTTTTGGCAATTCTCTGTATTTTTGCAGACGTGTTGCTATGGGAAATGAGGTGGCAATTTTGTCAAATAATTCCTGTTCTCCTCTGTTACTGCAATACTTACTTTAGAAGAGGGAGCTCTGCTAATAGCCGTAGAGCCTGCCCAGAGAGGTTGGTTTGGATGCACTAATTGGTTTTGTGAATGCTTGTTGCTCCGATCAGGTTTTGCTCCAGTGACAAAAACCAGTATCCCAGTAACAGCTTTTTAAGTTACCGGTATAAGAGAGAAGTGACAATTTGATGATCCTCTCCAAAGAGGCAAATAAAAGCATTGCCTTTTTTTTATCTCTGCTGGCATGGAGACAAGGCTGCCTCCTATGCTTCAGCTGCCCGCGTTTTGGCAGTGGATGTGCTTTGACAAAACCAGCCAGTCTGTTCCCTGTAACATGAAGTCAATGATGTGCTTGGCACTCCCCCTGCAGCCCAGCTGAGCGTTTCCAGAAGTGATGGGAGCATCTGTATTGTTCATTCTCTTGATGTAAAGTGCAGCTGAAGCCTGCTCAGCCAGAAAAGGCTTAAAACTAAAGTTGAGTTTCTCTTCCCTTTGGTCCCCTCTCCCTTCCTTATAATGCCCATGTTCTGTTGCAGCACCTTCTATCTGCTCTAAAGAAAACAGTCAACATCCACGGCTACATCCTGTCTCACACTTAGAATTAAGCATGTGTCAGCACGGATGGGATTTGTTGGGCTGTGTTATGTAAGGCTGCGACACATGAGCTCCATTTCCAATCAGTGATTTATTAATTCCAGACATTACCCCCTTGTGTATATGCAATCAGTGTCTCAATAGCAGTGTGCATTGTTATCCAAGTCCTTTTGTAGTACATTAAATAAATAATTGCATTATAATAATTGCTCTAAGCTGTATGCATCCCATATGCTAGTGTATGTCCATACATGCACACACACATACTTCTATATTGACAGAAAAGATGATGAAACTTAAAAATGGGACGTGAACTTGTAGGTATGGTTGAGAATAGACTGTCATGATTGACAAGTGTAAAATATTCCCTCCTGTGCACTGTAGGACAGGCTGCAGCATGGGCAGGAGAGGGGCTTGGGACAAGGGCCTGTAGGGACAGGCCAAGGGGAATGGCTTGAACCTGCCCGAGGGGAGACTGAGCTGAGCTCTTAGGCAGAAGCTCTTCCCTGTGAGGGTGCTGAGGCGCTGGCACAGGGTGCCCAGAGAAGCTGTGGCTGCCCCATCCCTGGCAGTGCTCAAGGCCAGGTTGGACACAGGGGCTTGGAGCAAGCTGCTCCAGTGGAAGGGGTCCCTGCCCATGGCAGGGGTTGGGGCTGGGTGAGCTTTAAGGTCCCTTCCAACCCAAACCAGGCTGGGATTCTGTGATTGCTACCAAAATCCAGGCAAGAAATACCATTTTCTGTAATGAAGCAGTGTATCAGCTATGTGATCCATATGCATTGGTTTGGGGGTCACAAACTCAAATTTACTATGAGAAAAGGGGCAAAGAAAATGAAAAGTATGTCAGAAGCTGAGGCTTTTGGCAATCCAAAACCAGCAATGAAAGGCTTCAGAAGAGACCTCTGTGGCTTAAACAGCATTTACACACACTTGTTCTAGTGCAAGCATCCCCCTGCAGGCACAGAACGAAGCATGGAATGGGGGCCAGCCAGGACATTAAAACAAGACATAAATGAGATGCTTATTTAAAGTCCCATGCTCTAACTTTCACTCAGTTCATCAGCCTACACCTCAGAACTGCTTCATTATAGCAAATGCTATTTCTCGCTGATATAGCTGATACACTGCTTCATTTGATTTATAAGTAGCACTGCTGAAACAGGAGAATAAACCAGTTTAAGTCGCTGTTCTCATAGCAGCCTTCCAGTATCTGAAGGGGTTCTATAGGGATGCTGGGGGTGGACTCTTCATTAGGGACTGTAGTGGTAGGACAAGGGGTAATGGGTTAAAACTGAAACAGGGGAAGTTTAGATTGGATCTAAGGAGGAAATTCTTTCCTGTTAGGGTGGTGAGGCACTGGAATGGGTTGCTCAGGGAGGTTGTGAATGCTCCATCCCTGGCAGTGTTCAAGGCCAGGTTAGACGAGGCCTTGGGTAATATGGTTTAGGGCGAGGTGTCCCTGCCCATGGCAGGGGGGTTGGAGCTTGATGATCTTAAGGTCCTTTCCAACCCTAACCATTCTATGATTCTATGGCATAAAAATACCTGCTTCTGGCTAATTTTTGTTTTTATTTCAAACTTCATCAGGAAATGGCAAACATTTTGGCACAAAAGCAGCTTCGCTCCATCATCTTAACTGTAAGTAGATCAGTTTTACAAGTTATTTTTCACTAGCAGAGAGAAAATGTGACTCCAGTTTTGGTGATCATTGCTTTTGTCTTAATGCATTTCAGTTACACTTGTATTTTGATCTGTTTTGAAGCCTGTAATACACAAATAAAGGTTTGGTTGTTGAATAGGCTGAAAACTGGTTGCCAGAAAGGGTGTTTTTCCAGGCAAATAAATAGTGATTTCTTCATGAAAATATAACACTGAATACTCTTTTTTTTTTTTTTTTTCCCAGTTCTTCAGATTATTTTGTCCTGTTATAAAGTTGCACACGTTTTGTGTCCACTTGCACAAAAGAAGCATAAAATACAGCACAGAGTGAAGTTAATATAACATGAAAGACGTGCATCTGCTATCATGGAAAACCAGAGGAATTTTGCCTTTGACCTTAGAGTCAAAGGGAGCAAGGGAAAGAACTCTTTCTGTGTTATGAGATACTGGGCAGTGTAAACCAAACCAAACAACAGCCAAACAAGCCCTTGCTCTCCCTCATTCACTCTGATAGTTTCAGGGATCCACACAAAACCCCTCGGGATTTGTTTCAGTGGGCATGCCTTTACCCTGCTGTGTCCATAGCAGGTTTGGTGTAAGCCCATGGATAATATTCTCAGGTGTTCATTTACTGTCATAAAATGCTCCAGTGCCTTTTGGCAGACAGCTTCCTTTAGCCCCTGGAACTGTACGGTCTCAGTTGCTGTCTCCATCTCCTAAACTTGGTGGGTTTTGGCACTCCAGGGATGTTTCAGTTGTTCATCAGTTTGGTATCTGCTTTCTGGGTGGGCCTGATTCTGCACACATGGGACATTGTGTGAATGTATTTCTAAGCATCTTCCTCCTACAGAATGGAGTTACCTGGTAGAGGTAGGATTGTGGTGCGATGCTTGGTGTCGACTCCTGCAGCCAGGACCCTGTTAGATCTCTGTACTCGCTGGCTGTGTCTGCAGCCTGAATACTTTCTGTTCAGGCAGTCACTCTCTTAAATGGTTTCTTGACTTACTCATTTTGTTCCCATACAGAGCTCTGAGGCCCTTGGGAAGGAGTTAATTTTTCTTCCAAGTGACTTCTCAGGACTGCTTCATGTCACTTCTCAACACGGGCACAGGCTCTATCTAGTGGCGAGGAGGAGAAAGTTTAAGCACGTTGTTATTGTAGAGTCCTGCCCATTACAGTCCCTTATCCTTTAGTACCTAAATCAGTCGTGCTTGTCCTGGTTTCATTTTGCCTTCTTTTGCACTGGTGTGTAGTGTGTGTACTTAGAGAAATGGAAACACCCGAGTGCGTGTGCTGTGATTTTCTGGTAAGATGGCATTCACTGGGGTCTCTCCTTCTTTGCAGCATGTTATCAGGGCACAGAGGGCCATCAATAATGAAATGGCACACCAGCTTTATGTTCTTCAAGTACTTACCTTCAACCTTCTGGAAGATAGGATGATGACAAAAATGGATCCCCAAGATCAGGTAAGCCTCTGGCATGATCTGGTCAGAACAGGAAGAGGGCCACTGCTCATTGCTGTACCTAAAACTCTTCATGGAGGGAAAGACACTGGGAATGTTTGCACCATTCATTCGTTCACTCATTCTGTTATGAAGCAGGTTATGTTTTCTGGTTGTTAGATGTACTGGCTATTGCATTCCGTATGCAAAGGTACAACAAAATGGCCAGGCTTTTCTCCATAGCAGATGGCTTCATGAACTGAGCTGGGTGTCATCCTGAGCCAAAACTCCGAGCAGCAATCCAGCGTTTGTGCCTTCTGTGTACTTCTCAGAAGCAGCGTAGATGTGTGGTCCTTTGTAAAAGTGCTTCTGTAGAGCTGGAATGAACATTTAAATGAAAACTGTCTGGCCTGATAGAGTTGAAGTTAATTTGTACTACTGAAAACCCGGGTTTGTGACTGGGCACCTCTGTAATAGTTGTGCATTTGTTTATTGCTGGCTGTGTCCAAACAGCAGCTTTAATATTGTTCATTGTACTAGGAGAGACACTTGCTTAAGCGATGCATACAAGTTAGAGTCAATGAGCCATAGAGAAGATGGGTCTTCTTACTTTAATTTTTGTGGCCTTTTTCTTTAGGCCAAACAACAAGGAGGAACTTGATTTCAGTTACAAGAGGAAGTTAAGACCTGCTGATAATTTGGAGGAGGTGGGAGGGCGACATGGTTGTAAACATGAGTAACCTCATGCCATAAGATTTTACCCTTCCTGTTTCTTAAGTCTGAGGCAGGAAGGTTGGACTCTTGGGCACACAGTTAACTAGTGCCTATCTCCATAGACAATGACTGACATGGTGGTGGTAGTGGTGATGCTAGGGTGGTTGTCACTGTCTTGAGACGTTTCCAGTGATGTGTAACTGCAGTGGTTCCTCTCTTGCCCATTGCTGTGCTAGCAAACGTGGGCAGTTACCAAAAGGAATGCAGAGAGCGGAGCCATTTCAGTTTTAGACAGCAGAGTGCTGAAGTACCAGCTGAATCTGTAATGTGTGTGATCTCTTGGCTCCTGTAGTTCCATGCCTATGCTTAAAATGAAGTGTGCAGCCCAGTTCCTGGAAGTCAGCCCTTGAGCATCTCCATGCGAACCCCACCAAATGTGAGGACTTTGCACAATGGGAACCACAAAGTTATTTTGCTGCCTGAGTATGAAGTAGGGAATTCAGACCAAGAAAGGCTGGGCAGTGGAGGCGAAACAGTGTTGAACCAGCTTTTGTGATATTGGTTATTAAAGGGAGAGGTTTTAACCCGTTTTTTAACGTTGTTTTGTCACAGGCTCAGCGGGATATCATCTTTGAACTCCGACGAATCGCGTTTGATGCAGAATCGGAGCCTAACAATAGCAGTGGCAGCATTGAGAAACGCAAATCCATGTATACCCGAGACTATAAAAAACTGGGGTTTATTGTGAGTATTCTTGTGTGGTGGTGCACTGAAAGTGGGTGAGGGTATCCATTGTGCATCTTGTAACCAGTCACTTCTCTTACTTGGTCTTCTGGCTATTTCCTCCTGTAATGCGACAGTATTTTGATTGTCTAGAGCTTAATGATGGTGCTGATAGGGTTGAGTGTTTATGCCTGTGAATCACAGGGAACACCAACAAGGCAGGTAACAGGGTGGGAATCTGTTACAGACCACACAACCAGGATGAAGAGAAAGGTGGAATATTGTGTAAGCAGCTGGGAGAAGGCTGAAAGAACACTGAATCCTGTGTTCGGCTCCGGGCCTCTCACTGCAGGAGAGACAATGGGGTGATGGAGGAGAATGGAGCTGGTGCAGGGCCTGGAGCCCAAGCGTGATGGAGAGCGGCAGAGGGACCTGGGGGGTTCAGGCTGGAGAAGAGAAGGCTCAGGGGGGACCTGATGGCTGCCTACAACTGCCTGACAGGAGGATGGAGCCAGGAGGGGCTGGGCTCTGCTCCCAAGGAACAAGGGATGGGACAAGAGGAACCGGCCTCAAGCTGCACCAGGGCAGGTTTAGATGGAGCTGAGGAACAATTCCTGCCCCAGAGGGTGCTCAGGCATTGGAACAGGCTGCCCAGGGCAGGGCTGCAGTTGCTGTCCCTGGAGATGTGTAGGTGTGATGCTCAGGGGTGGGATTTAGTGGTGGTGTGGCAGTGCTGTGTTATCAGTTGGCCTTTTGATGAACTTAAAGGTCTTTTCCAACCTCAATGATTCTGTGGTTCTAACTGGAAGAAATAATTCCCTGTGGTTGAAGCACGTAGTTTTTCATGACATTCCATGACCCTTGATTTACTGTGTTTATATGGCTTGATACTATTTGGAGTACTTCATCTTGAGAGAAAGCTGGTTTGTAGTAGTTCACAGCAGAGGGCACTAGCATCATACTAGATGCAGGCTGTTCATAGCAGTTGAACAGCTCACTTGCATGGGTACAGTCATTTCAGCCTTAGAAATAGTAGGAAGCTGTTCTGCAGTGTGAATTCCCATTTCTCAGTTGAATGCTGGAAGATGTTTGATGCTTAGGCTAAAGGATACAGCTTGGGCAATAAAAAATGACTGAATTTGCCTTACAGTTTGTTATACAGTGTACTGTAAATAGTTTCTTTTCTGTCTGGCATTTACTGGTCAGATAACTTTTCCCTCTGAAGTAATAGTTTGTTCCTGGGTTTGAATGGTTTTCAGGCTCCTATGGGCTCTGTGACAGGGATGCTTTCTTGCATCTGGATTTCTTAGTTGTCTATGGGGCTTTAGTTTGTTTTCCAATCTCTGCAGATCTGTAAAAGATGAGGTTTAGTGAATGTACTTAAAGGTCCAGTGGGACAAACTTAGGTTTGACTCCCAGCTCAGGCCATGTTCTGCAGATGTGGCAGCAAAGCATCAGTCTGTTTTCCAAACCCGAGGCAGAAATACAGAACTCACAAACCTCGCTCTCACACCCATCCTGTGCTTGATGCTGTTAGGGCCCAGAGGTGTGTGACCTACTGCATTCTTTCCCATCACCATAGCTTCATTGGTTTAAGTGACTGTTTGCCATACATTAGAGCAAGCTGCTCTAGTGGAAGGTGTCCCTGCCAGTGGCAGGGGTTGAAACTGGGTGAGCTTTAAGGTCTCTTCTGACCCAAACCTGTCTGGGGTTTTGTGACTCCATAGCTTCTCATCCGGGTGTGATCATCAGCCTGTTTTCTGCTGGTCCGGGGTGGTAGCAGAAGGATGCAAGGGGATTACTGGTGTTTGGAGGCATTAGGTTTAAGGTGGCTGGGAGAAAACCTGAGAAACTTTATTCTGTTAACAAAAATGGAGCGTTGTAAGCAGAAAAGCCTGGCAGGATGGTGTCTGTGTGCTGGAGGAGCTGCTCGGTGCTGTTGATCTGAGCTCATAATTGTGCAGGAGGGGGCACCTGGGTCAGATGTGCTGTTAGTGAGCAGCACCATAGTGACCAGCAAATCCAGATGTCAAAGCTGCTGCTGTTGTTTACCATGCAGCTGCATGTGGTTTATCAGAATGGTTTGTCAGGGGCTGTGGGCATCTAACAGTTTGCACGTTGTTGAAATGAATAAGCCAGCCTTTTACTGTTTTACTGCTCAGTTCCTCTTAGCTTTAGTCCTTCCAGAAGAGAACACATTTAAAAGCCCGTCATATGCTGTGTGTGATTTCACCGTGTGTTTGCTTGTTGGCTGCTTGTTTGCTTTGTGCATCCCAGTTACAAACTCGTGGGGGCAGGCCAGCTCCATGGATTTGAGTGTAGTGGGGCTGAGTGGTTTGTTCCAAGTGTATCCTGGCAGAAGAGCTCTTGTACTGCTAATGGGTTTCTGACCCCTTCTCTTAGAGGTGGATCTTGGACATCTTTCTGTGCTATTATGTACAATAATATACCCAACACTGGTCAGACAAAATGACATCTCTCTTCTTTTGTAATGTGGGCTTCATCTGTTTCAAGGCTTGATGCGTATAGCTGATTCCACATGGCCCCTTCTTTGATTTTGAAGCAATGGTAGTTTTGTGAAACAGTGTAAATTCAATTTATTGTTAGTTACTGAAAATAGGACTGTTCGGGGTTTTTTTAAGCCTATGCAGTGTTCCATCTCATGCATGCAACCAGATATGTGTGCGTGTTACTTAAATGTGCATATCACTCTGTTCCCCCTCCTCTCCTTCCTCATGGGTTTCTTTGCCTGTTGAAAGATGTAAAGGACAGTAAATAGCATCACATACAAAGTATTGGCATTTCTTCAGTTACAAAGGGTTGCAGGCATTCTCTTTGAGTGTGTGCTTTCATTAACTAAAGCCTATGAATGAATGAAAAGACAAGGGGAAGAAGGTGACTCATTTGTGAATACTGAATTATTTCCCCAAATTAACCGCACCTTCATACCTGCATTGTGCATATGTTGACTGATGTCGTCAGCCTGCTGCACAGCCCCTGCATGAGTGGCAGTGGGATGTGTTCCTGTAAAAATGCCTTAAATCTTCCTACATTCTGGTGCAGCTCTGTCCTCTGCCTGGAGGAGACTGGAGGCAGAGCAGAGCAATGCCCAGGCATGCAAAGCATCTGCGTTTGGCAGGGCACAGTTCTAGTTCTAAGAGCTTCACATCCCTGTAGAGGGAGGCAAAGAAGAGTCCAGGTCAAGTGAACTGAAATCCCCCAATGATGGACCCCATGAGTTTTTTTCTCTTTATCACCTCTCTGCTAAGGGCAGATGAGGTATGTTACAGGATGAGCAACCTCTTAAGGGTGCTGCGGTGTCCCCAGCTACCACAGTCATCGTTATTAATGAAGTTCCAAGGGAACACTCCATTTGTGCCAGTCTTGCTCTGTGGATGTGCCATGCATGCTGTAGGATGGAAGTATGAAGTCCTTTACTGGAGCTGATAGTTACAGCAGGAAGGAGTTTCACTCCATTCTTTTGAGTGATGATGGATGAGAGAGGCAACTGCAGCCATTAAGTGGGCTGCTTCCTGTGTGGGTTCTCTGTAGAGACACATCCTCAGGAAAACTAATGATTATTTTTACTTTGCTTTTACTCGATTGCTTATAATTTAAGTAATTTGTCTTTAAAAGAAACCATGGCTGAAAGGTGTTTTAATTAATGCACCGTAATTACAGTGGCAAAGGTTATGTCAAGAAGGTTAAGTTTGGGTAAACCTGCCTGAAGTGTAACTAAAGCAATCAAAAGGATGCTGTCCTAGTAGTCTTATGCTTAGAAGACTGATTCAAGCAGATCTTGGTTTTGAACCTTTCATTTTAGTTGTTAACTATTTGGTATCGTTTTCCTTTGTACAAAATGCCTGTTGAACAGCCCCGGATTTCTCCTTAGTAAGTGGTCTTTGAACCCTTGCTCTTTGTTAGCACTGTTAATGTTTGTACGCCAGTATACCAGCTGTGCCAGCCATTATGCTTCAATGAGTGCAAGTCACAGTGTACCTTACTCAAGAGACATTAAGCTTACCTGAACTCAAAAAAAAAGGCTTTTTGTGCCAAAATGTGACTTAGGAACAGCTGTGATAGGATTCACAGAGATCAAATGACTCAGGTAGGTTTTGATTCTGCTGCGTCTGACCTCCACCTCGTTGTAAGCGTTTAACCTGTGTTTATTTACGATGCACGGGTTTAGATGGATTAATGTTCTTGGCTTGCTGCTCCTGCTGGCACTGTTCGCACTGTTTGCTCATGGCTGTCTTCTTGCTAGCTTGAGAATGATCCTGCTGGGCAGGGTGGGAATTTGTGCCTTAGATCTTACCTGTGTAGAAAAGGCAAACCGCATTAGCGATGCTGGTGAAACGAAACCAACTGATTGCCTGACGTGTTCCAAGGTCACAAAGAGGCTTATCTTTCTACCACTGTTTAAGTCAGGGATAGATGCCAGGCTCCTGGTGTAGTTCTTTACTGCTGCAGTTCAAACAGTACAGAACGGGCTCACTGGCCAGGACATGCGTGTTAGACTTCCATTAGGGGTTCGGAAGAGCTGGAGCTATTTGGAAAGCTGTAGCTCTTGATTGCTGTCCAGCTGCTCTGGCTGGAGGGGTACCTGCCTCACACCCTCTTAGCTGAGCCTCTAGAAAGTCTCATGGGTATGGTCCTTAATTCTCTGCAGTACAAACCATCTGGATTAGCTCACACCTTGCCCAGCATCAGTTTCCTCTAAAGTGGGCTGACTCTTCATTAGGGACTGTAGCGATAGGACAAGGGGTTATGGGTTCAAACTGAAACAGGGGGAGTTTAGGAAGAAGTGCTGAGGCACTGGAATGGATTGCCCAAAGAAGTTGTGAATGCTCCATCCCTGGCAGTGTTCAAGGCTAGGTTGCACAGAGCCTTGGGTGACATGGCCTAGTGTAACATGTCCCTGCCCATGGCAGGGGGTTGGAACTGGATGATCTTAAGGTGCTTTCCAGCCTTTCCAACCCAAACCATTCTGTGATTCTATGACTTTGCCTGAAAGTATGGGC